AAATCCTCTATTTCAGAGTAATGGAGACCCAATGGCACCAAGGGTGGAGCAGGGACTGAATGAAGCAATTGAGGTCTCCCTTAACAGCAGTTCGGACTGTACTGACTCTCAAATACAGTTTGTCTTCAGGGATTTCTTTTTGAAAATAAATTATCTAGCAAATAAATCACTATAGTTCTTTTTAGTAGTACCAATAGAAAGGGCCAGATACCAATAGCTCATACCTAACTACTAAGGAGACTGAGATCTGACACCAAGGTTCCAAGTTAGCCCACACAGATATATCTGAGAGACTCGCCTCCAATTAACCAGAAAAAAAAAGCCCCACGTGGAGGAGCAGCTCAAGTGATAAGGGAGTTTGAATCCTAGAGTTCAAGCCCCAATACAATATAGAAGTCATCAAAAGGGGACAATTAACATTGAAAGGACTACCCTCACCACTACCCATCACAGTGAGTTTATATGCCCTGCCCATCTTCCCCCATCACCTGTTCAATAATGAGCAAGTTGCTACAAATAGTGAAGGGGCTGAAGCCTAACGCTCTGCTCAAGACTGTGGGATTCGGAATAAGGAAAGAATCTAAATAAGGTAATTACTGGAATTTTCTCAAGGAAAAATGTGGTGTCTCATTCAAGGAGACCTGGAGAAAGTGGTAGGGATTTCTAACTATAGAAACCTATTCTGTGGGTATAAGGAAAGATTTATAGCACATTCCTGGTCCCCGTCCCCATAACATTTCCAGGTGGCTTTCTTTGGAAATTCAAGTGTAATGTGATAGACAATGTCATTTTATAAATCAAGCACAGGGTGAGAAGAGCAATACTTCTTAGGATATTTGGCAGAAAGACTGTATACTAGAAGCATGCATGTGGGAGGAAGGTAAAGGCAAATATTAGGGGTAAGCGTCTATGGTAGGATGAAGAGTGGCCCTCAAAAGATATTCGTGTCCTAATATCTACAAACCAAGATCTGCCATCTACCACATGTGGCCAAAAGCCCTTTTCAGATGTGACTATTAAGGACGTTGGGATGGAAGAATTAAATTTGGATTAAAAGGTGGACCCTAAATATATGCACACATCTTGTTATAAAAGTAAGACTGATAGAAGAAAACAATGACTATAGAAAAAATCAATTTTGACTATAGGTTGACTATAGAGAAAGCAATGTGGCTATGAAAGTAGAGGATAAAGTGATGTGACCACAGCCACTAGGAGGTAGAAAAGAGACATGAATATGGATTCTTCTCTACACCTTGACTTGAATTCAGGATATTTGACTTCTGGCCTCCACAGCTATAAGAGAATAAGTGTGTGATGCTGTCAGCCACAAAAATTATGGAGCTATAGTCATTTGGTGTAGCAGCCTCAGGAAACCATGTTGATTGAGGAGAGAGAGAGAGCAAATGCATTAGCTGATTCAAATAGGAAAATGTGGGAGGAGATGAAAGAGGCCTTCAAACTGCTTAGGGTAGGTATTAGAAGGAAACAAAAGAGATGCTTCTCATGCAGTACTGATAACGAGAAAAGGGTATTTCTTTTTTGTAATAAAGTTTTACTCTCAGAATGAAAACCATCCCTATGTTGGCATGTGCTCAAAAGACTGGGAAAGGATATATTTTTCAACTGAAATTTATTTCTGATAAACTATAACTTCTTTGAATGTAATGCTGGGTGTGCTTGGAAGTATCTGGATTTTTATACAGGGGATTTTATGGGAATTTACATGACATTTTGAACTACACATGAGGTATGTAGCAAGAATTTCTCCTACAGTCTGACATTATTAGAATACTGATAGAAGAGAGTGATGTGTTCATCTGAGGAAATCTGAAACTTTTTTAAGACAGTCATCATAAACCCAGAAGAGCAGAAGGAGAGACCTGCAAAGAGAAGTTTCATTGTAAAACTCAGTATGTTTGTTAAAGAGCAATTCCTTTATTCTATTTATTAATACTGATGATGAAAGCTTCCTCCACATGAAATCAGAAGTTTCAACGCTGCCTCAACTGACAGATGCCCTTTCAATAGAAAGAGAAAGATCAGACATGATGGTTAGTTGAAGGTTTAACCTAACTCTATCCTCAAAGATCAGCTTTCCCAGGAAAAGTACCTGAATGCTGCTTCTACCTTCTTGAAAAGATAGATGATAGACAGAAAGTTAGAATGACAAATGAGAGGAGAGAAAGAGAGAGAGAGAGAACACATAGGAAGCCCAAGGGAGAAAGGATAGTGGTTCTGGGTCATGATTAGAGTGCATCTCTGAAATAATAAAAGCCTGAATAGATTTTGAAAGACTGAGGAAGAGTCCACAGGGGCTGGTATCAGGTGTTATTTATAGATGCAATCACAGACTGTCTCACTGCCTTAGATAGAACATATGGCAAGGTGGTGAATAGTTAACATTCATACATTGAATTTATAGGCACTAATCACCAAGGTAGAGAGAAATAAAATATGGCAGGGAATAAAAGACATCCAAGTATAGTTTGCTTTCTTGTGAAAAGGATTTAGTGAATTTACCTTCTTCCTCATCTTACTGAGAACATAGACCCTCAAGGAGGAGATTAAGTATTGGTACTGATGAGTTCATCCTTCTGGAAAAATTCAAATTCCCCAGCTTCTCTTTTCATAGAATGAAGGTTGATTAACAACAAGGCTGAGCACAGTGTCTTCTGGGGTAACAGGGAAAATCTTACCCATCCAGGAAAAAATGAGAAAAATTGAATAAGTGAAAGATGGATCGCAAGAGGATAATGTGGCCCTCTCTTTTGAAGAATGTAAACTTAAAGATGCATAAGGTATGGAATTTTTGTTCATCAGAATTCAAGATACTCCTGAAGAAGGAGGTCAGATCCTAAGAGAACTCTATATCCCAGGTCAGTAGAGGGAGGAGGGGATGGAAGAAAAGGAAGCAGATCACATTTCTGTGTGACTCAGTAGCTTCCCAGACATAAATGAAGTTTAAAAGGTTAAGAAAACAAGATTCATGAAAGAATTGTTTCTAGAAGTGTGGAAGAAACTAAGAAATAAACAAAGAATGGTCCAAGCATGGTGGTTTACCTCTATAGTCCTAGCTACTCAGGAGGCAGAGATAAGTGGGCTGCTATCTAAGGCTAAACAGACAAGGTTAATGTATGATCTGATCTTCAAAACAAAACAAATGAACTGGGAGCAGAACTCAAGTGGTGCCCAGAAAGCATGAGGCCCTGAATTCAAACCCCAGTACTCTCCATGTACAGAGTTTCTCTCCCTCTCCCTCTCTCTCTCTCTCTCTCTCTCTCTCTCTCTCTTGCACACACACACACACACACACACATAAAAGGGTGAAGCATGGGGGAGAATGATAAAAGGAGTAACTTTGATCAAGATTTATGGTAATCATATGCTACTTTGTTGAATGGCAACACCTTTGTAAAAATACTTAAAGATTAAAAATAAAAGAAAAAGAATGGAAGCACCAAGTCCTACTAATAGCTATTTTCCCTAGGCCTAAAGAAGAAAGAAGATGTGTTCCATTTCCATTTTCATTCCTACAGAATTGATGAGGCAAGGATTCTGCAGGGATTCGCATATGTGACAGGTGACAGCAGCATCAGTACTAAAGTGCAGAAGAGAGAAAGAGGAAGAATGGCTACTCATAGGAGTATCAAGCCAGTGATAGGTAGCTGAAACTTAACACTTTGGGAACACTCTGTGAGGCAGTGTAAAACAAGGGCCATAGGACTGTACATTGGAGCAGGGTACAGAAGAACATCTCCATGGAGGAAGACCTAGCCTGTGGTATAAATACCCAGACAAGGTGGAGAGGTATCCATGGAGTAGAGAAGCCCAGCACAATGCCACAGCCCAACCTTGGCAGAGTGTAACAGGATCAGGCAGCTGCCTGTGAAAAGTCAGAGCCCAGGTGTATAGAGGAGGGTAGCAAATGGAATAGAGTGAAAGTGGACAGGAAGAAGAGAAGAGATAGGTTTCCTACCAGGAGACTAATGATGTGCATAAATATATTTAGAATATAAAATTAGGTTTCTTTTACTATCAGAAGAAAGACAAATGAAAGAAAGCACTCAAACTAGAATGAACCATGCAGTATTGGATTGGATTAATGGCATAGGTGTGAACGCATTGATTTCAAGACAGACCATGGGTAGATTGTAAATGTGTGCTCATGTATTTGTTGGGGAATGGCCAGACTGGCACCTGAGCTTAGGTCTTTGCAGTGGCTCAGCTGGTGCTATACTGCTTGATCTATGCCTCCAGCCTGGCTTTTTGCTGATTATTTTGGAGATAGAGTCTCATGTACTTTTCTGCCCTGCTACCTTCCAAACTCAGTCTTCCAGATTTCAACCTCCTGAGTAACTAAGATTACAGACATGAGTTACTAGTGCCCAACTGCATGTATATTTTTGTATACACACATACACATATGTGTATAAATGTGTGCATTTGTATTTATGTTGAAACATCTATCTGTGTATCTATCAGCTACCTGTGTCTGTCTGTCTGTCTGCCTGTCTGTCTGTCTGTCTGTCTCTATCTATCTATCTATCTATTTGAATAGGTACATATCCCCATCACTGTCCACTGACTGGTCCTAGGAGCAAAGAAATCCCAGTAGCAGTAAGCCTACCAATGCCTCCGTCTTTATTTCTCAAGTCATTTTTTACTCAAGGAAAACCCAGAGTTTATGAAAAAGCATCTGATTCCAGTGCTGGGATAGGGGAAAAAGCTGAGGGTGGAGTACCCTGTTCTTCTGGAAAGCAATGATGTACAGAAAGAATGATGGGATTCTAAAGGAGAACCCTGAGACCCAGTTTGATAGTGCTCCTGCTGGCCCAAGATGGAACAAGTCAGCATGAAAACATCTAATGATAGGACCAAACTTATACTCATTGAATATGATGACACCATGATACCATGCAAAGATAACAAAAGAATAAGTTGAAAAGGAGCAGAAGATTTACAATGTTTCAAAGCACTTTCCCACAATCCGGGTTAATTAGCTGTAAAGGGGGACAGAGTTGCTTTACAATGGAGAAGCTCCATAGACACAACAAATCCAAATTGTGAGCTGCACTATAGGGTGCAATTATAAGAGTGTAATACCGCTTCTGTATTATTCCTGCGGATGATAAATACTCTGATCTTCTTTAATCATAGCGAGATGTCAGATTGACTCAAACAAGGGACAATGTACAAAATAACTGCTTGTAATCTTCATTCACGAAGAACCAAGGCTAAGAAACTGTTCAAACCAAAAGAGTCTACAGGCACCAGGAAATTAAGTGCAAAGAAAGGTGCTAAGCAGAATTTTTGACTATTAAATACATTATGGAGGCAAGAGGGAAAAAATCTCCATGCAATCTGAGGATGAGATAGTCACTGTGTACCAAGATCAGCTGATATGGGTGATTGAATGTGCAGTCGTGTTGGGCAGTTTTTCTCTTTTTATAGGAAGTGCACACCATTTAGAGGTGATCAGATGTCTGTTCAGAAACTCACGGGGAAAGAAGTGTTCATTTAACCGTGCCTTAACTATTTTATGAGGTCGTGGTCATGACCAATTTTACAAAGAAGAGTAGATAACAGAAGCAACACTCCCATACAAGGTTCAACATCATGCAAGAACAAGATCAAATTAGCAAATGGTAGGCTAAAGTAATTATTTCCCTGCCCCCAAGAAGACACTGCGAGGTATTTTCAATTACCTATTATGAAAGGTTTATTTGTTCACTCCTACTGCTATTTAAAACCAACTCCATGGGTGGCGTCTCTCAAACTAGTTTTTATTTCACAGGAATTGTGTCCTTCAATTATTCATTTTGAAATGTTCAGTATTCAGGATGTCCAGTTTGGGACAGCAAGGCTAGACAGGCCACCATGAAAGCCATCCTCCCCATGCCCACCCCCATCCAGAGAGAAATACCTCTGCAAAGCCAGCCAGGTCACCCACAGAGACACCATACTTGATTCAAATTACAGGTTCAGTACTGTACTGTACACAACCAGCATTACACATGCTTAACATAAGTATATATCATGATACACCAGGTCTCACTTTTAAAGTAAACAAGGTATGAAGCAGGTAACTACGAACTTAAGACTACTAAACAATCTCATTTTCTCATTTTTTTACAAAAAAAAATATTGTATACACCTTGGCTATTTCAGAAGCTTGGGATATGTGGACAGAAAATGGAAACAATATTCACCAGCTAAGAATAATCATATTACATATATTTAAGAATCTTTCCAGCCAAATCGTATTCTAAACAAGTCTATCTTAAAAGGCCAGGGTTTGTTTCCAGGCTGCCTGGTTTCTGGTAGAGGGAATGTACCCTAACTTCTCTCCAAATTCCAGAAGTACAAATGCAGAGAGATCGCTGATTCTCAGGGTGACTTCAACCTAAAACATCTGGATGATCCTAGCTCATGCAATCCCTCAGCCTTATAACTTCAGCCCAGGCTCACCAGGACCATTTGACCTGTTAAGCCCAGAGGTGGCATACCTGAAATTTCACAACAACCTTCAGGTTGTTCAATGTGTGGGCTAAGTGAGTAATTCATTCTTACCCTGAGGAGAATGCTTGGTGACTAGACACTGTTTTGATTGTTTGCAGTTTTCTAATATACAAAAAATAGCCAAGCTTGTGATGAATAGCACCATGGAAACATAGACAATGGTAGAAAACAAGATAATAAAACGAAGTTGCTTTTGATTCTAGCTAATGTTTCCTACCACTAATGTCAACTAAGTAAACCATTTAACTGAATTTGGAGAAATAAGATGTTTTGCAGAGCAAACAGAAATGTTTGTATGGAGAATGTGGGCAAATTATACTCATTAGGAAGTATCTGTTTGAGCAGCAAAGGAAAAATGTAGACATAGCTCCCTTAAGTAGAGAGGCTGCAGGCTGTTGAGCAGACTTGTAGGAGTAATTTTTAAAGGAAAATTGAAGGCAAGAGAAAGCATCTAAATCCTCTGTGGACTGGTCAATTGGAATTCAGAAACTGGAAGATAGTGTTGTGCAAATATTCATCTATTAGTACAGAATAACATACATCGCAGAGAGAAAATGGCTGTGATTGTGAAGCATCTCCCTCTACTGTCTGATTTTTAAAGGAATGTTCATCCCCCAGAAAGAAGATGTAGTCTGAAAACAAGGACAGAGCTGGTCCTTGGCTGCCCATTTGCTTGGCAGATGAATATGCCTTGGCAGTCTTTAAATATTTTTGTTGATGTATTTGTTTTACTGGCTGGAGTGTTGCTAGGAGCAGATGTGGAGAGAGAAGATTCTACCCCAATGAGGTCTGTTTGTTGAGCACACATGAGCTGGGTCTTCTCTAAGGCTAATTGCAAGAGGATGTTGGTTTTGAGAGAACTCAGCAATACCGAAGCAGTTGTTGAGATCCTATTGTCTGACAGCCACTGGTCCAGTGAACAAAACACCAGCAGGAGATGCAGGTAGTCAAATCAATGCTCTGTGGTCTAGGTAATGGAATTTCTCACTTCAAGTTTGGAGGTAATGGGCCAATAGCTGGATGTTAGAGTTCCAGATTATGAGGTCACATCTGTAACAAAAATTTGACATATATTCTTTAAAAATCTCTCCATGGGTCACTTCCCTTCAATGAGCCTTTTCATTTTTCCCTGGTACACACACACACACACACACCTCCACTTCCACAGGTACATGCTCCATCTGAACTCATATTCTTTCTGACACCCAACACCAGCTCCTCATTTCCCATGAAGTTTCACCCAACCAACTATTCTATACTTATAGTAGTCATTGTCTAAGTGCTTCCCTTTTAACCAGTCCATCCCTGGTTCTAACTGCTACTCAAGTGGTCCATTCTGCTTGTGCTGACTGCTTTGCTTCTGTCATCTCACTGCTCATCTGGCACCTGGCTTCCTCTTTAGGCTTAAGAACAGTTTCCTTGTGAGCACAGGGTTCAACTCAGAGAAGAGGAAGAGGTAATACCACCTACAGGCCCCTCCAAACCAGGGGAGATGAAACCAGAGCAATTTTGGGAAGCCTCTACACTTCCAAAAGAGGTCCCAGGAGGTCTCACCCTGTGAACCCAGAGCTGATACTTGAGTAATGCACCCTAAGCATCTACTTGCCTGGTTGTCTTGCCTGTTGGACTACCCCCAATCCCAGCTTTCTGGAATCACCTCTCACCTAAATTACTTATACCCAAGTCCTTATCTCAGACTTTGCTTTTAGCAATCCAATTAAGTCAAACTACACTGATATGAGGACAATGAATGAGATAAAATATGAATTTTTCAGTAGCAAATCAACACATAGGCAGAAAAAGCCAGAAGTGGTGCTGTGGCTCAAGTGGTAGAGCCTTACCCTTGAGCTGAAGAGCTGAGGGACAGTGCCCAAGCCCAGAGTTTAAGACCCACGACCAACAAAAAAAAAAAAAAGATTTTCTGATTTGGGGAAGGGAAAGGGAATCACAATATGGGACATCAATTTCTATCATTTAAAAAAAAAGAAAAGGTGATGGACTAAAGATGTATTTTTGGCTCCTTTTTATGCTGTTATTGTATGACAACACAGTCAACATGGGTGTCCCTTAACAAATGAGCAGTGGCAACGATCCAATGACTTCTGTCCCTTTGTCTTCCACCTTACAGCCATGAGATGCATAAGTTTACACAATGGGCACTTCAAACTTTCTGATGTTCCTCAAATTCCACAGCACCCCATTATAACTCAACAGAACAGATGACTAGGATACTTGAAGCCATCCAAGTTTTTTAAACTGCCCAAACAGTCTTTACATGGAAATAATTGAGCAGGTTCATCAAGTTCTTCTTCTCATCTATCCCCCAACCTCAACCGTGGCATCAGCCTACATCTCTCTCCTTACTCTCAGTCTAATAGTCCCACCTATCCACCTAATCCCCATAATACCTCACTCAAGAAATGCCTGTTATGACTTAAAAATCTTTTTCAACAAAGAAGTCTTAGAATCATCCCAATTTTTCAAAATACTGAGTGGAAAATTTTCTTGCTATAGTTAGACCTGTGAATTTTTTGTTTATTTTGAATAGTGATTTACACACATACTGAATATACTTCAAAGGATAGAAATTCACCTAAGCTTAAAAAATTTTCACATATTCAGATTAAATCTCAGGGACATTTTCCTGTTTTAAGAAAACACATCCAGGTTTCACATGAAGAACTCTCTTCCTTATCCAAGTCCCCAAAGTGGAGCTATACCTGCAAGCCGGGGTTTTTTAGCTGTCTTTACTGCCGCCATGAACATGTATTCATTATTAGGGTCATGTGCACTGGATCCATACTTCTGAAAGAAAAAGAAAAAGAAACAAGTTTTGTCTTTAGCTCTTTCCCACCTCCAAGTCTGTTTTTGTTTTGTTTTGTTTTTGCTGCTTCCTATCCTTTGTTAAAGTGATATATGACAAAAGTGCAATGATGAACTTAGGTTCCTCACTATAGACTCTAAGAGAAAAATAGACAAAAGATTTTCAAGCAAAAGAATCTGTGGTGGAACTTCCTCTATTTTACCTTGATTATCCTACTTCACTAGTAGACCTGGATTGTGGGTCCTACCTCATTCTCTTTCCTCTTTGCCTCCTTGTCAAAGTCTATAAATATACAAGTTATCCAAAGGAATAGTAATAATAAAAATAATTACACTTGGACATGATTAAACAGCATTAAACAGCACTTTAAGCATTAATACACTGAGAACAAAATAGAATATTCTTAGGAGAGGATCACAATGGCTCAATAGCTATATAAATGACCATATAAAATGATGCTTATCAAAATGAACAAGAGGAAACAAGATGGAAACAAGAGGTTTTTTATTGTGCTGTTTGCAATTATTTTTTTCTTTATTCTCCTTTGGTTTATTCCCTGTGGTCACTGTTTTTTTTATTTCTGTACACTTTGTCTTGTATATAAGATTTTCTGGGGGCTGGGAAGGTAGCTTCATGGTAGAGTGCTTGCCTTGCATGCATGAGGCTCTGGGTTCAATTCCTCAGCACCAAATAAGCAGAAAAAGCCAGAAGTGGTGCTGTGGCTCAAGTGGTAGAGCCTTACCCTTGAGCTGAAGAGCTGAGAGACAGTGCCCAAGCCCAGAGTTTAGGACCCATGACCAACAACAACAACAAAAAAAAAGATTTTCCGATTTGGGGAAGGGAAAGGGAATCATAAATGGTGAGACAAAGGGTGAAACAATTCTACAGTGATATTCACTAGATACTATGCTGGAAATGAACTTTACAACTTGAGGGGGAAGGGAGTTAGGAAAGGAAAATGAGAGAAAAGGAGGAAGGAGGTAGTACTGTTCTAAAAGAAATATACTCACTACCTCACTTATGTAACTGTAACCCCTCTGTACATCACTTTTACAATAAAATTCAAATTAAAAAATAAAAGTCTAGACTGGCACAGGCACACATCCTGCCTGACATAGTACCAGAGGGGCATACATATGACTGCTTGCATACTCACAAAATATGCAGAATGATTTAAGTTTTTTGATTGAACACCTGTGACGCAAACAACTAAAACAATTGTTCCACAGAGAAATTTTTATGTCACTATTGTTTTACTGTTCTGAACAGCTTTTCAGCAGTTTCTTTCAACATTAAGGAGTCTAAAAACATATCATGTAAAGAATTTGGCGATTTCTAAGACTTTTTACTGCTTTTCTTAATATAACAATTAAATGACATGCAAAGCTAATTATTGTCATCTTTTCCCTGACTTTTGGGTAGGTTGTGTTCAACTAAGCACAATTCACCTCTAATAATTTTCTTAAAAATCAGAGGCATTTATTTTTATATTTTTAACCTCCTTGTTGAAAATCTGTCTCCCTTTGGCCCTAGTTTTCTACCTATTTTTTTAATAATAGTAGTGTAAACATATCTCTGTAAGCCATGTAGTCCTTTTCGGAATGAGTTATCTATGAAATAAACAAATAAACAAGCCCCATTCTAAGTTATTAGTTTCATCAGTAGTACATCTTAGAGAAAGGGAATTGTCTACTTGTTCAAATTGCTCTGACAAGAGTAATGTGCATTTTTTGATGAGTCGGAAAATAGATGAAAGAAAAAATACAAACTGCTCACCTTTTTTGTAAACCAAAATATAAATATGCATACAAAGATGCATACTGCAACAAAAGCTGCACATCCTATAGGTAACCAGAACTTCAGCTGGCAACAAAGCTGCGATTCTGGGTTAGGGAAAAAAAAATCGGTACATTAATATAAAAATCTGAGGACCAAATCTCTTCTTTCATGCTGCATTGTAGATTCCTTCATAATATTTAAAGGACCTGTTTAACCAAGTAAAGCTTTTCTTCATTACAGTGATGAAATCCAGTGAATGTTAATACCCTCCTTCCAGTGATACAGCAAAATGCTAGACCTTAAAAGATCATTTAAGGATGTTTACAACTATGGTTAATAGAAAAGGCCTTTCTCTATTTTTACAAAATATAGAAAATGTATTGGTATAAACCAGTCATCATTTTTATTTCCTAATTAATAAAGATAAGTGTTTTTATTGACTTTTCTGCCTAGGTTGGTTTCAAATTCTAATTCTCAGATCTCAGCCTCTTGAATAGATAGGATTATAAACATGAGCTACCAGTACCTTGACAAAATAATGTGATTTTTTTCACCTCATTTTATTCCACAAACCCAACACAAAGATACTGTATAACTTAGGAGTATGGAGACAGTAGCCACTAAGCTACAATCTGGATATTTTAAAGTAACATGACCTTATTCTAGCTCAACAGTCTTACGTGGTTAAATTGTACGTTACCAATAATAAAAATCAATTATTACTGTATTAATAAATCATCTCTTGTGTATTTCATTAAAAATGATCCTGTCAACTACATCTAAGTAAATTCAAAGATGAAAGGTGCCATTTATTTGTTTTCATTAGGGAGAACGTTGTCAAAATATGTATGTATTCTAAGGCCCCAAGGATGAAAACAATGTCTTACCGTGAATATGCAAATATTCACCACTAATAATCTTTATTTGAAAAGGAGGAGGATCAAAAATTGATAACTTGCAGAAGTAATAGCCATGAGAGCTATGCAAGTTATTTAGGAAAAAAACGACGCTGTTGTTGGCTAACTGAGGTTGGCAGGACTTCAGATTCTTAGTGGATATGATGGGTCCACTTCCCTTGGTCTTTGAGAGATAACAGAGTGTTTGCTCCCCTTTCTGTAGTTGCATTTTAAACTGTTGGACAGTCTCAGAGTATTTGCACAAAATTTGTACTCCTCCATTGTGGAATGTAAACATCTCTTCCTTGGCAGAATCATTGATTCCTCCTGGATAAAAAGAAAGCAAACAAAGAAAAAGTGACACTTTATGATATGCTATTCTATTTATTACACTTAAGTATAAAAGTAATTTCTTCTTTGCATAAAGTCTATTGCACCAAAGTGAAAGAACTTCCCATCCAAACACATAAAAATGGAACATGACAAAAGATGAGGCTGCATTCTAGAAAAAAAATAAATCTACCCAGAAATGTACTTGTCTTACATGATATTATGTATCAAATAGCATATTTAGATAGTATGAGTCAAAAAGAATTAGTCTCTACCCTCTTCCACAATGGGGACAGATGGCTAACAAAAGAATGTGTAATGATGCACCATACTTTATGCTAGGAATGGAATAGTGTGTGGTAGCGATGGGATGGATTATAATTTTCATTGGAAGACCAGAAAATGCCCTTTCAAAAAGTGACTTTTAGGGGGCTGGGAAGTTGGCTCAGTGGTAGAGCACATGCCTTGCATGCCTGAGGCCCTGGGTTCGATTCCTCAGCACCACATAAACAAAAAAAGAAAAAAAGCCGGAAGTGGCGCTGTGACTCAAGTGGTAGAGTGCTAGCCTTGAGCTGAAGAGCTGAGGGGCAGTGTCCAGGCCCAGAGTTCAGGCCCCACAACCGGACCCAAAAAAAAAAAAAATAGAAAAAAAAAGTGACTTTTAAAATTTCAATTCAAGTATAAATATCACTTAGCTAAATAAGGAATAATTTGGAGGAATACATTTAAGAATGGAAGAGAAAATCCTAAAAAAAATATGATTGGAGCTAAAATGGAATGATTCTATGAAAATAGATATTTACATTAGACTATGGTTTGATAATGCTTAAACAATATTAGTATGTTTTCTGTGAACCTGCTTCACAGATGACTGAATCAAAACTGATGATAATGGTAAAGCCCTAGATTTTTGCTTGCTTTTTGTGCTTTTTAAATGAAGTGTGCACTCATGGGAACTAAGATTGTTTTTTGTGAACTACATGGAAATCACAGGAGGAAGATACTAAGATAGAAAAGCCTGGTGACAGATTCTGAGCTACTAGCTTAGCAATTCAAATTGCTCCTTCTTTTTTCCTCTTTTATTCTTTTTATTTATGACAGCTTAATATTCAAATTGTTGGAGGAAATTATTAATTTTTCAAATCTCTCTTTTTTCTTGAGATTAAATAAGCATGAAGAATTTCTAGGAAACATATTCAGTCCTTCAGTGAAGTAAAAATAATGCTTTGCATTTTTGCTCTTTATCTTCCATGTATATTCTTATTTCAAATAGCAAACGTATTCTCTTTTCACTATTTTTAATGGTATATGTCAACACTCCATTATTTTTATAATTATCTTTGTTTTAACCATGCTAGAGATTTCACACAGGGCTTTGAATGTACTCGACAAGTATTCTACCATTGAGCTACATGCTAGCCGGATAATTACCCTTCTTTCATACTATCCACAGGACTTCCATATTAATCCATGATAATTTATTTAAATTAATCCACTAATTATATATTGTGGTTATGTTCAGTATTTTCCACCTTCTGAAGTAGTATGGTATTTGATCAAAATGTTTAAACATTACTATAACAGTATATCCTGCCTTGTTGTGTTCTTAAAGAAGTGCTCTAATTATTATATTGACTAGCAGCATGAAGGAGGACCCATTTGTCCACATCTCTGCTTTTATTTTCTTAACTTCACTTAATATTTGTTACAATTACTTGTATTTTATTTAAATTTTTTATCTTAAGTAAGTATACAAAGGAGGTGTCACTTAACAAAGCAGTTTATGAATACAATGCATTTTAATCAGTGTCAACTGCCTTCAACATTCTCACCCCCTCTTACTTATTTGACCCTCCCCATCCTTTACTCTTCTTAATTCTGTGGTATATGCAGTGAATTCTTGACTGCCTTCTTTCCTCTTTTTCCTCTTCATTCTTCTCCCCGTCTCCCCTTACCGCCACCTGCCTCCTGTATGTATCAATTATCTGGTACTGATTTTGTTGGGCTTTGACCTATTTTTTTCTTAAAAAACTATACTATTTCAGATCTCCATAGAGTATACTATTCTTTAGTTAATTCATTTGTAAGCACTTGCATGCCACCAATGTGTTTACTTATAGATTTATAGAGATGTATTTTTCTTAATATTGCTAGGCTTTTATTAAATTTTGTGTATTCCTAGGGAATCGATTTTTAGATGGGGGATTTGATTGCAAAAACAAACACTTCAGTTTCTAATTGTAGTTGTATAAATTATTCAAAAAGAAAACCAAGTACTAAACAAAAATCTGAAAGTAATATTAAAAGGATTAAATAGTTGACCCCCCCCCAAAGAAGGGAAATTGCCAAGTTAAAAAACTAACACAGAACCCAGAACACAGAACCCATAACCTAGAACCCAGAGAGATAAGTAGAATTTAGAAGCTACTTTTTGTTCTAGAGCATTCATTGTTCTTCCAGGCTCAAACTTTTGTCTTTATATTTTATCTCCCAGATTCGGCAAGGTTAAAGAATCTAGTGGAAAGCATTCTCCTTGATAAGCTTTGTTTCCCAAGAGTTACATCCTTGGAGTACATTTAAACCAGAAGTAATCTGACCTTTGTGCAGATTATTAGACACATTAAAATCACTTTGGGTGACTCTGGACTGCTTCACGTTTTTTTAATACTCCAAATATGCAAAGGAAAATGATGCTAGTTTTATCTCTTGCACCGGCAATTTTCTTGGGGACTTGTTTTTCTGAAGTACATTATGTTGCATTGCTGCTACTTTGATGCTCCTGTGTCTAACTCTGCTGAGGAAGATAAGACTGGTTCTCAGTTCCTTTGGACACGTTTAGAGCAAATTTCCCAGAGACTTTAGAGTGACAGCAAGCAAACCACAAAGAGATCCTGGAACAAAAGTGTCTGGGGCTGGCCATTGTGTACACAAAATAAGCAAGAAGCATTCTCTTCTTCTTAGGGTTATTTTGTCAGCACTTTCTCCATTTTGAGCACACCTGGGGACCTACAACCCCAATACAAGGTGACATGTAATGGTGGGAACACAATGCCTAAATTCTCAAGGAAATCAGGTGCCACTTGCATTGTGAGACAAAGCAAAAGAAAATTATCTTGAAGTACTTTCCAGCACTTATTTTCTGGATTAAGGATGAGATTTCTAACAACCAAGATGAATAAAACCTAGCCCTTAGAGGAGTTCCTTGAAAAAGAAGCCAACTTTCCATTGTCTTCTCTTCTGATCAGATATCCCCACCTCCAAGAAAAATCAGGAAATGTTTAAATAAAGGAGACTATCTTTCTTGCCCACAAAAGTATTTAGTAAGGTGAAGAAGGATTGAGTTTTACTTGTCTGACAGTGCTGAGTGTGTGCCATTGAAATCAGTGGGCAGCTCCAATGTGTCATTTTTAGTGGACACTCTAAATTATTCAGTTTTAATTATTGTGATAATCTAAAATCTATCTGAGTCCGATTTTTTATTATTAAATGTAGGATGAGAAGGCTCAAGCTTTCATCTATCTAATGTTTCATTTTCCTCTCAAGAAAAAATTGACAACTCTAAGTCTACAATTTCAATATTTTCAGCCATGATAGCTAATCAATTTCCTCAAGATTATATTGGCACTCAAAGACCTGATATGCTGACCTAGCAATTCTCCTTAGCCTTTGGTAGCATTCAGAAAAAAAATCAGAAAGAGAATATCCCTAATGAAAATGATTGCCAATTAATAGACAACTTAGGGGAAATCTGAATACATTAATGTCTTACAATGATAGAAGAGTCTAAACTCTTTTCTCCACTCCCTTTGGATGTTCTTATCTCCAAGTCTAATATTAAACCTGATATACTGTATGGAACCATTAGGATTTAAACCTGCTGTCTGTTTTGAGTGGTAGTATGTCAAATCTGTTTAGTTAATTCCATTGCTGTACAAGCAGCTACAAATTTTGAATGTTCCCCTCATCAGTCTTTTGTTGTTTCTGTTTCTTCTTTTCTCTCACACTTATCTTTTCTTCACCTAGTATAAAAACATTACATTATATTTTAAATATTATAATAAATATTATAGGTGTATATTACACAACAATTATATATAACATAAATATTATAAATTTTGTTTCAAAATATCTCCTCTCCCATTGTCTTTGATATAGTCATTACTTTTCCATACATGCACAATAGACTAATAATGTTTTCAAAATTAGAATCAGAATTTTATGCCAAGTTTTTTAAGTCTTTAGATTTTGCAAAGACAAGAGCATGTCTCTCTTAGAAGTCTGATGAGAAAATCTCTGGAGGAATATTATCCCCCAGAGAATTGCACCATGGTTCAGAAAAGTCTATTTGCAAGTTGTTTCTTTTAAGTATCTTAACTATTTTTATTTCTCAATATAAAATAATCTGGCTAATAGGTTTAGCTTATCAATTTACAAGTAAATACTTTGGGTGGTATACAAGTGTATATAAGTACATTTAAGGAAGTAGATTTAAGGAAGAACTCAAATTGTGTAATTCTTTAGAAGGACAAAATCAAAGTTTAGCAAAACAAAACACTGTGAAGTGGGTACCCAATAGGGGTGGAGTGAGGTCAAGGAAGAAGGAATCAACAAATGCAGAGGAGAAGAAGAAGGGAATGCAGTCAAGAATCTAATGTATATCCTCCAAAATCAAGACGAGTGAGGGAAGGGGTGGGTAGGGAAAGGATGAAATGAGAGTGTTGAAAGGAATGACATTGATCAGGATCTATTGTATTCATAAACTACTTTGTTAAATGGCAACTTCTTTGTACAACTAGTTAAAGATAATAAATATATATATATATACATTAAAAACAGAAAAAAGAAAATAATCTGGCTAGAATTCCTTGCAGATAGTTGCATTATTCCTGGTTAAAATATTCTTTGGAGAAAAATTTAGAGAATACTTATGACATGGGGGGAGGGGGAGAGGTGCAAAACGGATCAACAGCGTGACTTTATTCTCTTACCTCAGACAT